CCGGCCTCAGACTCCCACCCGGGCTAGGCGGCCACCCCACCGAACCCCCGGCCTCAGACTCCCACCGGGCTAGGCAGCCACCCCACCAGACCCCCAGGGACGTCACCATTAGCTGCAGCCATGACCCATGCACCACCCACACCTCACCCTCCTGGGGCTGTGGCGGGTGCTGCACAGGACCATGAGGCGCACCCAGGCGGGACCCGCGGGGCTGGGGCCCAGGAGAGGGCAGCCGGGTGCCCAGTCCTGCCCCAGGCTGCTTGACCATTTATGCCTGTTACACTGTCCCCTTTCAGGACAGGCACCAAGATAATGACAGCTTTTAATGAAGGTCAGCTCTAAGGAAGTTCAAGTCCTGTAACAGGAACACCAAGCCTGGCAGCTGCCTGAGTCCCTGAGTGTTCCGTGGCGCCCCCTCCCTCCCTGCACCCCAGGTCCACATCCCAGCTTCAGCCACGGCCTCCTCCTCTGGTCTTGTGTTCCTTTTTCTCAAGGGTCCTGTATGTGACACTCATCAACAGGCATAAAGGATTACACAGGGACTGTACAACATAAACTGTGTGCCCCCCAAAGTCCTAGCCCCCGATGTGACTGCATTTGGAGCTGGGGCCTTTAAAGAGGCAATTAAGGTAAAATGAGGTCATACAAGGGCCCTGGTCCAATCTGCCTGGTGTCCTCTGAGAGGAGATGAGGACAGACACCCACGAAGGGACAGTCCTGTGAAAACACAGAGAGGAGCCCTCATCTGCAAGTCCTGGAGGCCCCAGGGAGGAACCAACCGAGTGGCAGCGTGGCCTTCGACAGCGGCCCCCAGTGCCGTGGGAAGCACGTGTCTGTTGCTTCCGGCCCCGGCCTGTGGTGCCGTGTGTAGGAGCCTGAGCTAAGATGATGACCAAACCGAGAAGAGCCAGAGAGGAAGCAGACGCCTGAGCGTCAGAGAAGAGGAAGGTGCACATCAGGGCTGACCCAACGAAGTACGCATCCACCGCTTCGCAGCTGGAAGGGGTTCTCGGACACGCCGCTGTTGGCTAGGCCCTGTACTGTGGGGCCGTGAGGTGAATGTGCCGCAGTGTGAACCCTGTAACGGCTGCCTCGGGAGAAGGGGGCAGAAGGAACAGGCACCGGGAGTGAAGGGGAGCGTGGGGACCCGCAGGCTGCGCTAGCGTGCGCGCAGGTGGCCAGCTACGCACCAAGTTGATGTACACTTTCGGGTGGCCCAGCGCGCCTCCGCCGCCATCGCACGAGATCACCCGAGTCTCCACCTCGCTCACCGGCTGCTCTGCTATCAAATCAATGCCAAAGTTTTCATTCACCTGGAACAAGAAGAAAAACTTACATAAACAAATACACAAACTTGCTAACTTCATACAATTTAAGCCCCACACACAAACCCATGAACCATCAGCAGGGATCTATGGTGCGTGCTTCATGTAACTACTATCACCATAGACCTTCATGACTCACAGGTAATTAAATTTAGGGTCTACACACACATTTACTTTTCATTGGAATAAATGAAAGTTTATTCCAAACAAGTTCTGAACTTAGAAATGCTGCAAGGAGCAGAGCAGCGGAGGCTTCCCCTCGGTCGCCCGTCTGACTCGGCACACGCTGGCTGCCAGGAGCCTGTGGGCTCTGCGTGCCCTCCTCTCCCCACCACACTGCCCCATCCCACCCCAGAGCACCTGCACCGCACAGGCCTTTCCCCACAGGCTCCTGTGTGCGTATCATAGGAACATTCTCTCACCAGCGATGGAGCAGATGTTTCTAAAATGCCGAAAACGCCACCCGCGCTGCAATCCACGAGACCACAGCGTCTCGCCGGCTTTCCCAGTGCTGAACACTGCTTAGATCACTCCTAAGTGTTTTCTCCTGTTTGCTGCCACCGTACACTGGGTCTCCCCATCCACTGTGTCTTCCACCTGATCATTTATGACTTGCGGTAAAGACTCTGGTAATTTCACCTCTTGCTTGCGTGCTGATGCTTTTGAGTTACAATCAAAATGGAATGAAAAAGATGTCTCCACACCACCGTGGGGGTGAAGGAGGACACAGGACTATGTGGAAATGCCAGACAGTGGGTAAGCGGACAGAAGGCTCCCACTCACTGGCGTGGGGAAGACGAGGGGTCGGCCTACATAGTCACTGATTTATACAGCACCCAAAGGAGAAACCACTGAACAGTTACTACTGTGAGAAGGACATGAGCATGACGGTTAGCCTTTCTTTGAAGTTTTATAAATTTGACTCTGAAATCATGTTTTACATTTTTCAAAGTCATAAAACTAAACTTTTAAAATGACAAAAAGGAGACAAATGAACCTAAGGAATTCCAGGAAACTCTAAGAGAGAGTAACAGGAACATTTCTAACAAGACACGTCTTAAGAATAAAAACACTTCCAAGGCAAATGAAACAACCATTGAAACAACGGGACTTTTGGTGTGGGGAAGGAACTAGAAGAGATGTCAGCTCACTGGTCCGGCAGAAAGAAGTCTCATGACCCTGAATTGAGTGTGTGACTCATCCCACATCTGATGACCACACACACCCCTCCTAGCTCCATCCCCAGGACCATGATGAACCCAGTGGCAATGAGTGCCCCGTTGCCCACACGGTGGTCTCTAAACACCCCTTCGCACCAAAGGGAAGGGACTGGGTTCTTTCAAAAATGCCTGATTCTGGGTCCAGGGCAGGAAATGGTACAGGATGAACTGCAGGCACTGCATTGTGGCACAAGTCAAGGAAGTTTTAAAGGCAACTAAGGTTGTGTCAAAAGAGGAGTCAACCTGGGGAAACCTGCCACATGGGATGATCTGGGATACCAGGAATTGGAAGGACAGGTGGATTATAAGTGCAAAGGAAAGAAACACAAATATTTACACCCATGATTCATAAATATGTCTAAAAAACTCACTAATTACCTTACTAGGCACTATGGTTTGCATGTGCTCCCCCAAAGTTCCTGTGTTGGAAATTTAATCCTCAATGCAACAGTGTTGAGAGACGGGGCCTTTCAAGGTGCTGAGGTCACGAGGGCTCTGCCTCATGAGGGATTCTGGCTGCCCTCACAGGTGGTGGCCGGGCTCCTGGTGGAAGGATGAGTTCAGTCCCCCTTCATGCACACTCTCCAGGCCTTCCACCTTCCACTGTCACCAGACACGGCCTCAACCGTGCACCTCTCAGCCTCCAGACTATAAGAAACAAATCTCTGTTCTTTATGAATTATCCAGTCTCAGGTAGTCTGTTATAGCAACACAAAACAAACAGACACTAGAGAATCAACCCATTAAAGGCTGGCAAATAAAGAGAAAGAATCAAGTATTTCTTCTGATTTTCCTGCAGAAACTTTACCTCAGGACCAAACTTTCTTTTGATATAAGTATTCAAGCTAATAAGACAGATCATATCATCATTTTACAACCCCTTATGAAATCACAGATGTAGGAGATAATGATCAAAGTCTCTTACTACAACCAGAATCGATTATGTACTATGTGGCTCCTGATGGAAGGCACATTACCTACACAGCAGTGTCACCAGGAACAAAACACCGACCCTCGATCTGATCAAGCCTCAAGATCCAACTATTTCCCAAAACACGCAGAGACAAGAGCAAGTTCACCAGCACGACAGTGATGTGGTCAGGAGGTTCCGGCCGTGGGGACTCGACAGAGGAAAGGACCTGGGCGCTCTCACGAATAAATTTTCCAATGAGAAAAAAGACAGAGCGGGGGGGTCCATGGGAACCTACAGTTTAAAAGAGACTTAAGAGACACCAACAACTGCAAGGCAGGAACGCACTTGGGCTCGGAGTCGCACGATCACATTTAAAACCATGCATGACCAAGAACATTCAACACCACTTAGATATTTAGTTTAAAGGACTTATTGTAACTGTAAGGTGTAATATTGTTGTCATGTTAATATATTGTTATTTATTTATTTTTTTTACTTTCCTGTAAAATCTAAATGTTACTATCTTTTGACTGTATAGTTAATCCTTGAACGACTCAGGGGTTGGGGGAACCGCCCCGAGTGCAGCTGAAAATCTGCTAACTATGGACTCCCCCACACTGAACTACTCACAGCCTGATGCTGACCAGAGTCTTTGCCAGTAACATCAACAGTCGATTAACACATATTTCGCATGTCACAAGTATCAAATATTGAATTCTTAGAATAAAGTAAGCTAGAGGAAGAAAATGCAATTAAGGAAATCGCAAGGAAGAGAAACTATCGACTGTCGTGAGGTGGATGTGGATCACCACACAGGTGTTCACCTCATCATCTCCACATCGAGCACGCTGACGGGGAGGAGGGGAGGGGTTGGTCCTGCTCTCAGGGTGGGGGGGTTGAGGGTATGCAGAGGCAAAAGAAAAGCCACTTATTGAGTGGACTCACAGTTCAAACCTATGTTGTTCAAGGGTCAACTTATACACGGATAAATTTAGACTCGATAAACATGATGTCAAAGATCCACTTCAAACTTACGAGGGGCTGGTGGGGCCGGGGTGGAGGCAGGGCAGAGCTGAAGTCAGACTGGCCATTCTGACACCTGTCTCGGTTGGTATAACTGTCGAAACTGACTGCCTGGGTACATGGGAAAGGGAATCCTTAGACCTCCCCTCCGTTTCATAGTTTATGCTTTTTAAAAAGCAGTAAAACATCCTGGCTTTGCAAATATGTTATGATACTCATAATGGCAAATTTGGGAACCCAGAAAGGAGACATGCCTTGATTTCCTCTGACTGTAATGAGGCAGCCCCTGTCAGCTGCCCCCGGGAATAATCAGTGAGTAAGTGCCAGGAAGACGAGGCATGAAGCACCGGGAAGCCACGGGAAGTGGAGCGCAGGCGTCTGCGCATGGAGAGGGAAGGAACTCAACTCTACACCCCCAGCAGGCCCTGAAGTCCAAGGATGGGGGTCTACCAGCACGTCCCCTCCTGGACGGCCAGCTCCACCGAGCATGACACAGCCCTCCCTCCACCTCCAACGCTGCTCGGGGGTTCCCCGGTTTCACAGCACAGCCGGGAACCTTGCATTCCTCCTACGGTCCCCGCCTCAGAGTGGAAGCAGCCACAGGGCTCGTCACCAAGTCACCCACTTCTGGAGGCGAGACTCATTCGACGCCACAGAGTCACAGAAAACACACACAGTGGGAGGCAGACACCACTCTTTCCCTTACAGATACATTTTGGAAAAGTTTATTTTTCAAGAGGTTCTGTCAGTTACAGATGACCATTCTGTAAAGTTTTCCTTGAAGGTCTATTTCCAGAAACACAGAAGGAAGTTAGAGGAAAATGAAGCCACATTAAAGCAGGAGCCCTGAGCCCTGCTGCTGGGCTGTTTCACCCGCTCCTGCGACACGGGCCTCTGCTGCCGGCCTGGCGGTTCGCCTCACACCAGCGCCTCCAGCTCTGACGGGAGCGATGTTCTGCTCACCCCTACCGCGGGCAAGGCAACTAACCAGACAAATGAAGCCTTATGGTGTAAATAATATGGTGTCTGCCTAAGTGACAAACTGCCAGGCCCCCATCATGACAGTCAGAGAGACCGGCCACCTCCCCACAGGGAGGGCAGCTGACGCCGCGACACTGGTGACTGACGTGGGATGTCCTCCTGTCATTTACCGTGCACAGCTCAAGGGTGACCCTGACCACCCATCACGAGCAAACGTCTGGCTCTAGGAGCTCAGTGCAAACGCAGGAATACAAAGAACCGGCAGTGAACACACCCAGCCACAACAAAGAGCCTCGCTCCAGGTTCAAACCCAAGGCTCCATCTCACTGGATGCTCTAGGTTCTCAAGACTCCATTCTCACCTGCTTTCACCTGGGGAAAGGTAAGAAAGGCTGAGGAGCACTGCTGCAGTTCACAAGGGAACCCCGGGGGAACTGCCACGGCAGCCCGCACGACATCTCTCGTTAAGCACACAGCGCATCATACGGTGAACTGTCCAACGACTGTCACACGCGTCCTCTGCAGGTCACTAATGTAAAAACGGGAAACTCTCTCTCCACTGACCTCTTGATCATCAACTGACTGGGCATAAAAACATCTAGGTTTAAATCTTTAGGAGTGAAAGTTCTATGACATCAAACTGAGACTACAATTATTAAAGATAAAATATAAAATGTATGATTCTGTGACACAGCATCAAAACCAATGCAAAGGGAAATAACCACGCAGCGGAATCATCGGTGTTCTGTAAAATACCCACCCCATGAATGCAGATGTATAGATTCAGAACATCGGCCATTTTTAACATCAATGCCAATAACTATATTTAGCTAAACATACATGTGTATATAT